CATACATATATATATATATGTGGTGCGTGTGTGTGTGTGTGTTGGTGTGTATCTTTGTACGTTCGTGCGTATGTATGTATGTATGTATGTATGTATGTATGTATATGTATATGTATATGTATATGTATGTGTATGTGTATGTATATGTATATGTATATGCATATGTATATGTATATGTATGTGGTACCCTGCCCGCCCCGACTACTTCATGCAAGTTCTACCATTGGCCTGGGCCGGGGCTCGCGTCATCAATCGACATTTTCCTTAAAATCCGAAAGATTCCTGCCTGGACTTGTAACATTTCGGTATTTATGGGCTTCCAGAATTTCCGAAAATGCATCATTAGCTGACATTTTTTAGAAGTTGACTGCCGTCTATTCGTGTCAGTAGGAGGCCAAAAAAAGACAAACACACATGGCGCCATAACGACACGTTATATGCACAGCCTCAAAACCGTTACGGGTTTGGTATCGTGCACGAACTTGTTTGCATCCAGCCTGCTGAGCGGAGGTCCCAAGGAAGGCTCAAGCAACGCTTCAAGCTAGCCGTGCTGTTAAGTCAACATCAATAGCATGATACCACACTCCGGCAGGACTCCTGCAGTAAGAAAGGCATTCAGCATCCCGTTGCAATCTTGCGTAGAAATACTTCGATCTCGTTTTATTCGAGTTCTGCACGGTGTTCAGAGCATGTGCTGTCGGGTAGCGCCAACACTCTGGCAATGATATATGGACGGAGAAGGGCCTGAGAAGGGCATTGACACCACTACTTTAGAAAGTTGTTCCAAAAGCAAAAGATACTGTGGGCATTACAGGGTAGCATATATACGTCTATACATGTCTCATAGTTACCTTTAAACATACAGTTAGTTAGGAATCTTTGCTATTGTATTAATTACCCTACACGCAGACGTATGCGTGCGGTGTTTTATGATTCTGTCATGAGATTGAATCTGGGCTGTCCCTAGGGCCCTAAGGAACAACCAGCTGCGCAATTGTGCACAGAAAGTTGCCATAGTAGCAATAGCAAGTTTCAACCACGAGGGTTGATGGTTGAACACGAGTAGTGTGTTTCTCCAGCCGTTGCTGGCGCATATGACAAATTGCTACGATCCCGGAGTGATCGACACACTGTCGACGCCGTAAGCCTTGAACCCTTAAAGCCCTTAATTCTACAAAGCCTAGCCGAAGGAAGCTAGCCGAGGCCGAGCAGTGGGTGCAGGGCATGGAATCCTGCAACTACTATGGTCTGCCCTCCGAGGCACCGACCTGCCGTAGTCGTCGATAAACCACAGCGCCGCCCTAAACCTGGCCTCCAAGTAAAGCTCCTGCGCCCCTCATGATTCTTAAATCCTAGAGCCTGGGGGTAGCTTCCCTAAAGGGCCCGATGCCGACGAAATTCGGGCTGTGGATAGAGCCGGTATGGCACCCCGTCCAAAGCCTAAATAGTTCCACAAAGCCCCGCCAGTTGTTCAAGAAAGCAAAAACATACGCTCAGCCCCCGAGGCTTTCAGCCGCATCCCTCCTGCTCGTCGGCTTAGAACTCAAAATCCCGGAACCAATATTCCACACGTCTGGATGCAAGCGCATCTAGCCTTCGGGGGTGATGGTTTTTGAGGCTTGGCCCCCCCCCCCCCCCCCNNCAGACAACCTTCTGATCATTCCGGTATGCTGCGGATCGACCCTCAACAACCGCCCCCCTCCAGAAATCCGAAAAAATCGCTGAAACTCCTTCAGACTCCCCATCAGATCACATGACAAGTAAGCTGCACAGCCTTTGGTGGCTCAACTCCAGCTCCTCAAGACGATCCATGTTAAGCCCTGATAGACTCAGGCCGAACCTAAGAATCTACAAATTGCCCTGATGAAGATTCTAACGCCAGGACATGCTGCAAGAGGGCTATGCCATACAATGGGGAGCAGAGGGTCGCAATGACCTCGGGCGCATGAAGGCCTCGGCATGCGAGCTTCTGTCTACACGCGAACATGTACACACACACACACACCTATATTTTACTCTCTCTCTCTCTATATATATATATACACGCATAATTATGTAACTTTGTATAAGTAAGTATCTACTCTGTACTGTATGGTATCCACTATTCATGGCTTCGTCCTGAGCGTTGCCATTCACTGGCTCTTACCACTACCACCGTGAGCACCGAGGCTATCTGCTGCCATTGAGTATTCTTGATCATCGGTGTAGTCTAGATTCTAGATATCACAAAGTGTTGGACTGCAGTGTCATGAAGTTTCGTTGTCTTCTTACACGAAGATCAGACACGGCAAAAAAGGGGTGTCAAGCACCGCCCTGACACAACACTCAGCAAAACAGGCTTACTTAGCATCCCAGCTGAACAAAGGCTCTTTCGTTAATAGGCCAGGATCCCTACTAGTAACTCCTATCAGGGGCAGGGAGGTTATTTATGAGGGGTCTACATTACATACACTACGCCGCACTACGCTGTGCTTCGACATCATCCTGGAGATGCAGGCGTTTGATTAGGGGTTCTCGGGCTTGGGGCTAGTGAAGTGCCTGGGAGGACTTGTGAGACCAGGGTGCTGTTCGAAACCGCGACAGATTCTACAAATCCCCGCTCCTTGAGTCCGAAGAGCCATTAAGCAAGCCTTGAACCACATCCGTCAAACCTAAATCTGCTCCGGAAGAACGTAGAAGACGTCGAAGCCTCACGAATTGGCAATGGCACTCCTGCAACTTCAGCAGGCTGTATGTGTAGCCAGAAACGCCGAGCTGCAGAGAGTGTTGGAGAAATGCAGAAGCTCCTGTGACCCCGATAGCTGGTATGTGCACGTAGAACCGGGCTCGTCTTCATTTGGTTTGGAAAAGAGGCTTCGAAAGGCCTCAAACCGTACAGTGCGACTGCCCTAAACCCTTCCTAAACCATGCTGTCGTGGAGCGTCACTTGTTGAGGCTTTGGGCGCCAACGCTGTTCGCCTGTATCACTCGCTGGGGCTGGAATCGGAGGCCTTGTTTTTGGCTTTTCATGCACTTGCGGTTGCCATTGCAGAGTGAAGGGGTTGAGGGTCTAGGAAGGCTAACATGCCCCGAAACACTGACACACAAATTAGCCACTCGAGCCCTACCAGATCCCATGTTAGAGGCCCCCTCTCATAGAACCCTTGTAGAATCTTTATCAAACCCTACATACTTCGAAGACTCTTACCACCTCACGAAGTGTTGGAAGAGGAGGAGTCGAGTAACAACAAGCGCGTGAGGGCTACTAGAAGGATTGCGATGCAGCATGGCAACCCCTCGCGAAGTGTGTTGGTGGAAGTCCCATTTTGTGTTTTCAAGCTATTCAACCAAGAATCTACCCTTCCGGTGTCTATCCCAGAAAGCCATAAGAAAATAAACGCTGGGCGCATTTTGGAGATGTACAGGTCTCATTCGCCGGCCAGGCTCAAAACCTACAAAGGCTCCAACGCCAAAAAGGGGGTCCGGTTAATACATAATGCAGAATATTTATTTAAGCATAGTACCGGTGCAGGTCACGTCATGCTATGGTTTACAATATGGCAGATCCTTTCGCGCACTTAGTCCCAAACCCTGAACCTTAAACCCCAGTAAATGCCCATGAAATGTGCCACGCCGACCTGGTACCGTGGAACCTCGCCGGCTTGTCCGAGTTGTGAGAGCCTGAACCCTAAACCATAAGCTCTGACCTCGAATGCCAGGCCAGCTTCGTGCGAGTGTGTGAGCCTTCTCCAAAGTTGCGCGACACAGCTTTGAATCCTAAGCCATACAGGCCCTGAGAGCTGAACTTCGAACCCTAAAGCCTGAAGCCCTGAACCCAGACGGCCTAGGGTAATAGGGGGCATTAAGGAAAATAGTAAGACCAGGTTTCGGTGGTATTTTCTTTTGTGATCTACCACAACTAATATAAGGACCACAGCAATAGTATTGGTAAGTTAACAAGGTCACCCATATGACCTTAAAGTCCGTGCAGGGCAGCCACCAGGGATTCCTGGATCGCGCGAGCGAATTGCAGCTGAATGTGATGCCAGGACCTTTGGTCGCAGACTGTGGGCCTTAGGGCCAGGGTTCCTAGGTCCTAGGTTTCGATTTCAAGGCTGTGCAGACGAATTCAGAATAGCAATCACATATATAGTGGTGTGTTTAGAGGCGAGTTTGTAATGACCATCCATATAGTTGTGTGAGTTGTGTGTCTTTAGCCGGAGTTGCATGGGTTGGAGGTAGTTCTTGGAATCAGGGCTTAGGGCTCTTGTGGTTTGGGGGGGGCTCGGGAGTTGAAGTCACAGCACGCATGTAAACATGCATGTGTGTCTCTCTGTGTGTGTGTGTGTATGTATATGTATGTATGTATGTATGTATGTATGTATGTATGTATATATGTATATATGTATATGTATATATATATATGTATATTTATATTTGCTCATGTGTGTACATGTATGTACATGTATGTACATGGTTTTTTATATGTATGTATGTATGTATGTATGTATGTATGTATGTATGTATGTATATACGTAGGTAGGTAGGTAGGTAGGTAGGTAGGTACGTAGGTATACGTATATATATATATATGTATGTATATATACATGCATGCATCCTGTACCCGACACCCCAAACCCTCAAACTAAAAAGCCCAGGCCCGAAACCCCAGAGGCCGCAAAGTACCCAAGAGCCCCCGCTTTCCTGTACCCGAGGTTTCCACAGTACTGAGCCGAACCTCTGCGACGACTTCGACTGCTTCGAGTTCTGGAGGGATGCGACTCTCAAAGGCTTCGAGCAAGGCCAGGCCATGCTGTACGGTTTAGTTCAAGAAGGGATGTTGAGGGCGTCGCCGCAAAAACCGGATCCACCCCCGAAAGTCGCAACAGTAGTAGCCGGGTAGCCGCATCTGCATTGACGCTTCGAACCAGGCTTCACTGCCGATGGCCAGTGGCACCCGGCCGTGTCAGCCTTGATCCTCCTGAATGAGCCCGCCGCTAGACGGAATCGTGGACCTTTGCAGCCCGCTTGCGTGTTTAAGTTTAGGGCTAAAGCGTCTGTTGCTTTCCACAGTATTGCTGGACATGACATGGATATATAGTAGGAGCTGTCCTGGAAACACTCTAGTTATGCATCCAGCCGTGATCTCGAGAGTCGCCGGCAAAGATGCAAAGAACTGCCACCTCAAATCCAGACACAGGCCCATGTCGACGCTTTGCAGCTGCATCAGCAATAATGAGAACAACAAAACTCCAAGACAATCACAATTCGATTGCGAGTCTATCAGTGCTTGTCCGATATTCCGGAAACCCCAAGCCCCAAGCAAAGCCACCCTTCACGCCCGAAGCCCTTCTTCAGCCGACAGACATCCGAAAACCCAAAAGCTGCAAAGGGCTCCCGGATGATCCCGGATGCAGGGTTCCTGAAAGTTCAGGACTTCTTCGAACATGACCCGCTCTGCAAGGGCAGAGGCCCGGAAATCCGGTAGCTCAGTGTCCAGGAGACAGGATTGAGGCTTCACTGCCCGAATAATCCGGAAATCGAGATTAGGGCGGAGGCTCTACAGTGCTATCTTTTGTTTCCGAGGGTTCTGAGGTACGAGTTTAAGGTTCTTTAGGTGCCAGCTATGGATTTCGGCATTCCGCGAAACGAGAGCAGGAAGCACAACCCCACCTTGTGAGCCTTCTTGTGTCATTTGATGGCTTGGCTTCGCCTCCTCTTGCCAGTGCCCACCGTCACAGATGCCATGTGGGTGCAGGCCTGCAAGTCGTTAATGTAAGACATCGAGAACATACATGCATGCATTCCTGCTTGCATGCGCAGATCACGTGCATCTGCAGATTGGAGCGCTGTACAGTACGTTTTGCAGGGACACGCCAATACGTCTGTCAAAGTGTTCACACAGCAATGTGCGGTGACATGCATTACTGCATATCCGCAGTACACAGGCTGAGGGAGGAGCACGAACACAAAGGCTACAGTCATGAACTTGCCAACACACATGCATATGCCATATGCACACACACACATACCCTCTTCCTATTTCTTGCTCTCTCTCTCTCTCTCTGTCCGTCTCTCTCTCTCTCTCTCTCTCTCTCTCTCTCTCTCGCTTCCACAACTTGTTCGTTTGCTTAATTGGCAAAGAGTTGGTTATGTTCCTGGCAGCTGCTCGTTGTGAGTATGCACACTTGCTAACGTCTGTCTGTTTAGTGCGCCTGCGTGATATCATACATCTACGACCATGCACGTTCGTATTCTGCCAGCTGCGCCTGCCCCAGTCCGTGGTGTTGTCTTGATGCTTGCTGCTGGGCGAACCAGGCCTTTCAGCACACCACCAGAGATCACCTCCCATGACGAACAAAGCCCGGAAGCCCCCCAAAAGGTGTCCGGACCCTCAGATGCCAAAACGCCAAAACCACCGTTCAAGAGCCGTGTTTTTTTCGGACTTCAGGTGCTTTTTGCCGAGTGAAGGCGGCGATCTCGGCCTTGGATGGTGTTCTGGCTGCCGAGGACTTCGCTGGAGTTGCGCCCGGACTTTGGGCTGCAAGATGCTGATTCTATATAGTATTTTTATAGCGCCCACATAGTTGCTAAATGTTGCTAGTTAACTTTTAGGGCTTGGGGCATTTCCAAAAAGTGGGGGGAGAGTACGAATGCTGCGACCGCACCCCCCCGCCCCCCCGCCTGAGCAGTTGAGCTGCTTTTCTGGCTCTGGGCTGTGTGGCCTGTTGCTGCCTGTTGCTTTTGCACTGCAAGCTGCTATAGCTACATACATGACAATGACAGACCATGACCCAAGGGCGGGTGCACCTTACAGTGACGTGGTGACTTGGCAGCATCAGGTCCACGGAAGACAGGCAGGGGCGAGGGTCTGATGCAATTTCCCCTGGTTGCTGCAGGTCCTTCGCCATGCGGACGTCTATTGATGACGTGGTGCAGGGTCCTGGCACTTTTGGGTTTCAGGCCCATTGCAGATGAAAAATGTGCAAGCTTCTAGCCCATAAGCCTAGGCGGACTGTATGGAATCGGTAGAAAGAAGGAGAGACTCCCGCGTTCCATGACATGACCTTCGTGAGGATATGCTGGCTGTGGTGAAAGACCCGAGCTTGGTAGACTACACACCGCGGACGCCACTGAGTCGGATACAGTCTGAGTTCGAGAAGAGGCCGAACCATGTCAAAAGCAGTACTGTAGGTGCCAGGACCGTCCTCTTTTTATGTTCTAGGCGCCATCTGGTTTTCTCCGGTTGTTCTGATGCTTATTGATTATAGACCATTGTTTGGGAACGGTGCCCCAAAGATAGGCCCCTCATCGCGCCGTCTCTGTCTGGAGTTCCATCCACTCTGAGAGCTTTGTGACTACCAGCTGCACTGAGGATGTCCCCAAAAGACGGTGCTAGTTCCCTACCCTAAGCCTGTACCCTACTGTAGCACCCGACAGGAACCGAGTACCCCACTAGTACCACACAATAGTACCTTAGATATGCTGCAGTGCAGTTTAGTGCTGCTCTTGGGACAGGTGGGTGCACGGCTTGAACACCCAGTCGCCATGGTCACAGTCTCAGACGAGAGTCTTTGAATCCATGCTCCGGTACAGTAAATAATGTCAAACTCACTCTAAGGTTGACGGTTTGGGGTTTCGTGATTGCTTGCACTTGTTGCCAACAGATTTGCTGGTTTCTGCATGTGCCGTGCATACTGCAGAAGAACAGTGAACAGATCTTGACAGGTAGACCTTCAGTCCGGTTCAGATCCTTATCGGTCGGTAGAGTATAGTATACTATGGTTCAGTTCAATAGTGCAGTATAGCATAGCAGCTTAGCAATCCACAGCTTGCTTTTTTTCTGGGGATCCTCCTTCGAACTACTCGTTTGTCTACCGACATGTCTGCAAGTATGATTTCGTTCTACGCAGGCAGATAGCCATGCAGGTCGACAAGCCTGTAGGTAGTGTATCTGAATGTGTTCATGCCTTGTTGTTGCATGCATGGCCGTATTTGTGCATGGGTCTGGCAAAAGTAGGACTTAGATAATTACTCGCCCGTGCATGGTTTGGCAATAGCAGCATGAGTTCCAAACGTGGACGTCTTCGATTTCGTTGTAATCAAGCGCTTGTCGTAACCAGCCAATACACCCGCCACCGTTATCTCCACTACCCAGAGCTTAACTTTATGCGATGATGTCGTTGATGTGGGATGTCGCCTCCGAAATGCCCGGCCTGTTTCCGTGAAAGCCTATTCAAAGCAATGAATAAACTATAGGTCCTTTGTCAGCGAGTTCGTCTCCCAGCACTATCAGAAATACGACAACTTCGGCAACCTTCCCTGGTTCATTGGCGAGTATGGAGCAAATGGCCAGGACGAGGACGTCATCATCTCGGACTTGACGCACTCTGGCAGCAAAAAGATGGTTTTCTTTCTGTAGCTTACAAACCCTATATACCCTAAACAGCCTAAGCCCAAACCCTATATACCCTAAACAGCCTAAGCCCAAACCCTGTATACCCTAAACAGCCTAAGCCCATTGTACAGTGTGCACCAACAACACTCCGACGGTCTGCAAGAGCGGACCTTCTCAGAGGTCGATGGAGGAACGTGCAGTGGATGACTCGCTCTTCTTGGGGGCAGCGGTGTTCCAGCCTCTTTTCAGCAAGCCCGGTTCCCAATTCCTGAAAGCCCAAACTTAGGCTCCACTTCTTTCGAATGTCCAAAAAAACTCAGCCAGGATTGGGGTAAGGTTTGTTGGGAGGCGCTGCTGCTATTTTTAAGCAACCAGAGCGGTCAGGCCCTAAGCTCTTAGCTCTAGCCCTGTTTGAATGATAGAGTTCCTGTACAATCTAAGCCTTAAATGTATATGTATACATGTATACAGAGCAAGGGAGAGAGAGAGAGAGAGAGAGAAAGAGCGAGATAGAGAGAGAGGGAGAGAGAGAGAGACAGAGAGAGAGAGAGAGAACAAAAAAAACAAGTAGAGTATATCCCCCAACCCCAAGTCGAGTTATTCAGCCCTCCTCCCCCATTTTTTCGTGCCTTCAAGTCGCACGTCGAGTTTTTTCACTTGAAGAGCCCATGTCGAAGGGCCCTGGCGGCTCCAAACCCAGGAGTTTCCTCAAACTCTACCTGGTCCTTCCTGAAGGGCCTTTTAAAAAAGAAGCCGAAATTATAGTTACCAAAATTATTCCTTGGGGTTCCTTTTAAAAAGAAGCCGAAGTATATTTACCAAAATTATTTTCTTGGGGTTCCTTGGTGTAAGTATTTTAGAAAGGAGCCCAAGACCCTGTTCCAATTATTAAGGGTTAACATTTAGACTGGGGTTTGGGAGTCCAATAGACAATAATGATCATGAGGAACCCCCCCCCCAAAAAAAAAAAAAAAGCATTGGTAATTGTTAAGGCCCCTACATTAGGCTGAGGTGCCCAGCCACCTTGCCGTAGACCCTCGGGTTGGGGGGGGCTGAAACTCAAGAGCTCCTCGTACATCCATCGGGTTTAGCGTTTAGGGTTTGGGGTTTAGAGTTTAGGGTTTAGGGTTTAGGGTTTGGGGTTTAGGGTTTAGGGATCCTAGATTCGCGCAGGTATTTCGGGAACATCCCCCCGCCGCATGGCTGAGCATGGAGACGGGTGCCGGATCCGGTCCGCACCACGAAAGTTTCATGTGAGGTTTAGGAAGCCGTCGTTCGCGGTTAAAGGCTCAACTTAGGAGCCCAATAGGTAAACTTTAAACTTTTTTGGTACATTAAACCCCCCACTAAAAGAAAAGTTTAAGCTCTTTTGGGCCAGGGTACTGGGCAGCTAGGTCAACCTCTTAAAGACAGATGAACCACGCACGACCGAGTCGTGGGCCGGATTTGCCCGGCTTCTGACTGCGCGACCTACCAGACTTGCTTTCCCACGCGTCATGCATATGCAGCCAAAAGGCCCGTAAAAAACCAAAAATCTAGCCCAAGCTGCAACACCGCCCTGTCACTGCTCTGAACACAAACATCAAAGAACGCTTGTACAAGACATGTCGAAGTGAAGCCCTAAACCTGTGCTCCATCAGACTGCGAAGCTGGTAGAAGTCTTCAGTGGTTTATCCGGTGGCAAAAGACAGAGACGTGCGGAGTCATGAGCATGTCGCTTGGTTTTGTCTGCGAGGGTAAATCCGGAAGTACCCTCTATACAATACAGCAACCGTTGTAGTGCTCTAGCATAAACTGAGGTTGCATTGATCAAGAGCTTTGCCTCCGGTGCAACTTGCGCACGGCTGCCGGTGGCTTAGCCACATCCGACCCAGGGTTTCAACCGTCTGCTCGTAGCTTGCATGGCTCATCTCCGTGTTTGTCAACACCGGAAGCCAACCTTAACTCCTTCGACCCTAAGCCGTGAAGCCTTAAAGCCAAAAGCCTCACAGCCCCGAACCAAAATCTGTTCAGAACCCTGGCATAGCTCTCTCAACACCCTACCACAGCCCTGTAGCCCCTATGGCAAGCGAGAAAACCTAGGCTGGAGGTGGCCGGAGGGTTGGAGAGCCTCTCGGATGCCGTGGCCAAGGGTGCAACTGGAGGATTCTATCGGAGGTGGCCCGAGATTTCCAAAGGCTCTGATAAGGATCCTATAAGGGGGGGCATAAGGTTTCAAAGAAGGATCCAAAAAAAAAAGGAGCGTTTGGCTTAGGTTGGGTGTAGGACTCAGGGGTGTGTGGCCCATTGATTCAGGCTCTAACGTTTAGATTGCAGGGTCACGGCATTGCTAGCATGACGCCTGCGCTCGCTTGCATGAACAACGAACCACGAGAACTTGTTTTTGAAGGGGTGGGTATGAAGTACTGGTCAGTTCAGGGTTTCAGATTAAAGGTGGCTAGGGGTTTCCATTCAAGCACTTGCTGCCTGGCTTTATTAATTGACGTCCTTGCCCGCTTGATTCCTCGAGCCACTGTAGAGGACACAGAAAAGTCCAGGGGTAAAGGGTCATTTGCTTTGCAGTTGCGTACCGCAGCAGACTGGTTTGGGCTCAGAGACCCCTGACCGTTCCATCTCGGCATGTACCCGCATTCAATATTTGGCCTGACAAATGGCAACCCTAAACCCTATAAACCCTAAGCCCCAACTCTTAATCCCGAAAAATCTTAGACTCTACCCAAATCTGAGCGAAAAGCCCAAACTCTGGGTTCTTAGACTGCCCCTAAACCCTAAACCCTAAGCCCTCCAGGGTCCAAGGGTCCCAGGGTCCAGCCTTCTAGAGACCGCAAGGGCCCGAACCGAAAGCCTAAAACTCGTCAAATCCAGACTCGAAACGGTGATACTGTGTCTTGATACAAATCCTGAGCATTACCTTATGGACCATTAGGGTTTAGGGTTTAGGGTCTGGGGATTGGGGTTTAGGGCCAGTTTAGGGTTTAGGGGCTTAAACTATGGGGATTATGGTATATTCCTCGATATATGGGTAATTGCAGGTTTTATATCATCAACCGTACCCCCCCCCCCCTTAACGCGACAGATGCTTACGGTTTAGGGTCAGAGACGACGGCTTGGGGTTGAAGCTTAGCATTCGGTAGGGGGCCCTCAACCCCTAAACCCCCAAACCCTAAACCCTAAACCGCCAACCCCTAAACCCCTAAACCCCTAAACCCCCAAACCCTACACCCTAAACCCCTGAACCCCCAAACCCTAAACCACCTAACCTGAAAAAGCAACCTAAACCCCAAACCCCTAAAC